TTTCTCCCATTATTATAAGTTCCTGAGGCCCTCACCAAAAGCAGATGCTGACACCATACTTCCTACAATCTAGAGAATCATGAGCCAATTAATCCTTTCTTCTTTATTCATTTTCCAGTCTAAGGCATTTCTTTAAAGTGATCAAAAATGAACTAACACTGATAATTGGTATTAAGTAGCGGGACATTGCTATAAAGATAACTGAAAATGTGAAAGTGGCTTTGGAATTGGGTAATAGGCAGAGTTTGGAAGACTTTGGGATCTCAGAAGAAGATAGAAAGATGAGGGAAAGTTTAGAATTCTTAAAGACTGGTTAAATGGTTGTGATCAAAATGCAGACAGAGATAGGGATGGTGAAGACCACGCTGACAAGGTCTCAGATGGAAATGAGAAAGTTACTGGGAAGTGAAGTAAAAGTCCTCTCTGTTACACCCTAGAAAATAACTTGGCTGCATTGCATCCAGGTCCTAGGGATCTGTGAAAGTTTAAAATTAAAAGTCATGACTTAGGGTGTCTTGCTGAAAAATGTTATAAGCAGCAAAATGTTCAAGAAGTGGCATGGCTCCTTTTAACAGCCTAAATTAGATACAGGAGCAAATTATTTACAGTTGGAATGTATACTTTAAAGGGAAGCAGAGGATAAAAGTTTGGAAAATTTGCAAACTGGCCAAGTGACAGAGAAAGAATATAAACAACTTACAGAGCAACCATGTTCTAGACAGGTGTATATGACTAGAAGGAAGCCAAGTGCTGACATCCAAGACAATAGGGAAAATGCCTTGAAGGGATTTGGGCCTGAGGCTCTCACCAGAAACCTTTCTATTCTCCTAGGCCTCTGGACAAGGAGATCTAGGCCCAGAGGCCTGGGAGAATAGAATGGTTTTAGGGACCAGGCCTAAGCCCCCACTGCCATGGGCAGCATTGGGATATTGCTCCCTACATACTTGCTGCTTCAGCTACAGTCACGGCTCAAAGGAGCCCAAATACAGCTCAAGACACAGCTCCAGAAAGTAAAAAACCATAAGCGTTGGTAGTTTCCACATGTTGTTTATCTACAGATGCTCAGAATGCAAGAGTAAAGGGGCCTTTTTGGCTACCACCTAGATTTCAGAGGATGCATAGGAAAGCCTGGGAGCCCAAGCAGAAGCTTGCCACAGGAGTGGAGCTCCACACGGAGAAACTCTACCAGGGCAACGCTGAGGGAAAGCAGGGAGACCCCATACAGGGTCTCCACTAGGACACTGCCTAGTGGAGCTGTGGGAAGCAAGCCATTGTCTTCCAGACCCCAGAGTGGTAGATTCACTGGCAGCTTAAACCCTTTGCTCGGAAAAGCCACAGCATACAACTCCAACCTGTGAGAGCAGCTCTGTGAGCTATGTCCTGCAAAGCCACATGGCAGGGCTACCCAAGTCCTTGGAAGCCCATCCTTCACAACATGATGTGGAACATGGAGTCAAAGATTATGTAAGAGCTTTTAGATTTAATGCCTGCCCTACTGGTTTTCAGAGTTGTATGGGGCTTATTATCCCTTTGTTTTTGCCAGCTTCTCCCTTTTGTAATGTTAATGCTTACCCAGTGCTGGTACCACAATTGTATTTTGGGAGCAAATAACTCATTTTGATCTTACAGGCCCATAGGTGGAAGGAGATGAGTCTCAGATGAGATTTAGGACTTCAGAATTAATGTTGGAATGATTAAAAACTCTTGGGGCCTATTGGCAAGTGATAATTTTATTTTGCAGTGTGAGAACATGTGATTTTGGGGGCCAGGGACGGAATGGCAAAGTTTGGATGTTTGTCCCCTCCACATTTCATGTTAAAATGTAATCACCAGTGTGGGAAGCAGGGTTTAGTGAGAGGTATTAGATCACGGGGATAGATAATTCATGAATGGTTCCTTGGTGATGAGTAAGTTGACGGCCAGTTAGTTCATGTGAGACCTGGTTGTTAAAAAGAGTGTAGCACCTCCCCACTTTCTCTCCTGCTCCCACCCTACATGTCATGTGCCTGCTCCCCCTTTGTCTTCTGTCATAATGATTACCTTCCTGAGGCTCTCACCAGAAGCAGATGTTGGCGCCACAGTTCCTGAGCCAGTTTAATCTGTTTTCTTTCTAAATTATCCAGCCTTGTGTATTTCCTTATAGTCATGCAAAAATGGACTAACACATGGTTGAGAAAATAGACAAATGAAAAATTCACTCACAGAGTGGCATACATAGCAAATAAATTAATGTTTAGTAAAGAGTATTAGAAATTGTCAAATGATAGTATGTTGATCATTATTGTGATAGCTAGTTAAGCCACTTTCAAATAATGTCACAAAAGGTGATAAGTTACAACCTTTAAATATAAGGGAGTTCATTTCAGAAAAATAAAAGCATCCCTTAAATATTATATATTTAATGTCATTAAGGATACCTTAATATTTAAAAGGCATATTAGCTTTGTAGAATGATTATAATCATTATGTGTATACTAAATTATCTTTATATATATACACACGTATATACATATATACATAAATATATACATACACATACATGCACCTAAATACACACACATACATATGTATTTGCAAAAGCATGTACCTATAGGCACATTTGCTGTTAAGACAGGATTATGCATTGTTTAAATTCATCAATACTTTTGTGAAGTGAGAACAAATAAACAGACAAAAGTACTCTTCTACCGTCCAAGGCTAATTAAAAATGCCACAGTGAGAAAAATAATCATAATCACAGCCATTACCACCTCAGCTGTCCTGCCTTAATCACAAGTGGATATTCCATTGCATCATTATTTTCCTACTACTACTCCATTCACTATTTCACTCTAAGAAAGTTCCTGGTGTTCCATTTATTTTTAAAAGGATTTTAATGGATGTGCTATGAATTTTCAATGAACTATTTGAAGTTGGAGGAACTAATTAGGAATGTGTTTTTACTTTCTGTTTTTTTCAGGGTGATTAATTTCATGTGAGACTTTAACCTAATGTTACTCCAAAGAAAAAATAGAGAAAAAAGACGTACTACTTCTCCACACTAATGGACTGCTAATTGAAAAAACTGAATCAAGCATTAACTTGGAAGAGTCTTTTTCAATATATAAATTATTTCTGGTTAGCCTTTAATTTCCAGGTTAATTAAGAAAATCCTGTGGCCTTGATTTTAGCAATTAGTAAATGAAAATGTGTTTGAATTTGCTTAGTTTTGTGATTTACACTAGAGACTCCATCAGCTAATATAGTTTCTTGGCTAATAGCTTTCGTAAAGTAAATGCTTTTATCTAGAAAAAGCCTCACCAGTGGAAAACAAAACAAAACTAAAATCATTAATTAACTAATTGTTTGGGAAGATAAAATCTCAGGAGTTTCTTGTGGGGTTGTCATAGAGAAACTATTCATTTTTACATTTTCACAGTATATGAAATCACCTCAGGCTTGGACAGGGTCCTCTGTCTCCTTAAGAAATGTAAATCACAGAAAATTTAGAATACATGCCTCAAGTTGCTTCATTTAATGAAAAGCTAAAGAAGAAAAGCAACAAAAGCAATTCCTAAAATAAATGAATAAATCATCTACAAAAGAAGTACTAAGTAATAAAATATAAGAAGAAAAAAACCTACACTAAAATAATGTTTTGAATGAATCTGCATACTCAGATTCATCATTTTATACTACCATCACAGTTATAATATTAAACTCAATATAATCTAGATGCATTATTTTTGTATGTGTCTTGAAAGTCGTCCTTCTGCATCACTTTGAGCATACCAGCAACAACATACTGGCTGCCTATTTTAAATGTTACGTAATTAGTAACATCATGATTCAGATATAAATTCTTAACTAAAGTTTTTTATATTCTTCTATTAACATACATTTATGTTGCACATTGACATACAATATATTGCAAAGTAAAAGTGGATTTATTATCTCTTACCTGTTCACTTCAAGAAAAATTTAATTGCCAAGCATCCAGTCACTGATAGACAATTTCAGCTATATCAAACTTTTGCTCTTTATAAAAGCGCACCTACAATCAATTTTCTGTGCAGTGACATTGTGATATAAATATATCCCCAAGAGCAACAAGAAATGCCTACATTAAGTATTTAGGAGAAGAAAAAATTGCCTCAAACATAAAGTTAAACTAGAAACATGGCAAAACAACAGGCTCAAAAGTATGAATCAGGAAAGTCTAAACTTTTCCTGAGACGCTGTCTTTATTTTCAAATATTATGATCATAAATAATCTTTTAAAACTAATGCATTTACCTGATTTATCTAGAAGTTAGAAAACCCATATATAAATTTATGGCTGGGAATTTGTTTTGTGGTACTATGCAGTACATTGTGTTATGCATTTTACAGACTATTCATGTCCCCTGATTTTAATTCATTTTCCTATATATAATTTTCATTTTCTTTTGTTTTCATAGTATGCACATTTAAAGGCTTCCATAAACCCTTCTTGAAAGACCCAGATAACATGTCATTCAATAAACCAACCAGTCAGGAAAAGTGCTCCTTCTGGCACCAGCCTATTACCTCCGTATAGTGCTGGGCAATACACCCATGGAAACAGCACTCATTTTTTAAAAATTAGAAAACCAGAAATTGTATTCCAGTTTCATAATTTATTAGCCAAACAAACTTGAAAAAATACTTGGCCATTTTGAACCTTTTTATTCATTTGTAAACATTGTTATTTTAATCTATTCCTTGTCCAGGCCTTACGGTTGTTAGTATAAATTATGACAATGCATGTGAAACACAAATCCTGAAAGAAAATCCAGAAAATTCCATAATGATATAGGTTATTAACACAAAAAGTGGTAGACACTTCATCTCCAGAAATATATGACTCAAATAGAAACAAGATAATCAGTGATGAATAATACTAGGTTTAATTTGTATATAAGTTAATAAGATTTTTAGTTTTCTTCCCTTAAGTGTTTTAAAACCATTGACAATGATTGAACTGAATGCGATCAACTTACTTCTGGAGCCTGAAGAGTTCCTCACTGCTGTGAAGGAGTCAGCACTCTGCCTGGCTGCTGCAGAAGACGGACAGAGTGAAAGCATCTCCAAAGCTGGTTTCTGAGGATGGTGTCAAAAGATGGATTCTCAGCTGCTACATATCTTCTCAACACCTGGCTGAATGCTTACAGGGGTTCTTCAAAGGAGGCAAGCACAGAAAAAGAGTGTATCAAAAAATGCTTATGAAGTATCTTTGAACAATATAGTGATTGTTAACTGGGTGATCAATCTCAAATTACAGCAGGACTATCATACAATAGGATTTAAATATATTAGCATGATAAAGCTTTCCAGTGGAATGTGCAACATATTGTGATTTCAATAAATATATTAGCATTCTCTTTTCCTTTTTGAAATAAGCTTTCTTATCAAAACAGGATAATTTAATCATAAGCTCCATAGCTCAATTTCATCATATTTAAATTAATTCAACTTGCAGTCTAATGTTAAAACACTGCATAAATTAACACCTATTTAAGCATCACCTACTGTTTAACAGGCACATGACACTTGGAATATAGCAGTGAATGAACCTGAAAAACCCCTACCCTGATGAAGCTAATAGATCTATGTAATAGTACAAATTGACATTAAACCACTGATTTTTTTTTCCTGTATTTTATTCAATAGAAAAAATCTGTCTATTGCAACATATATGTCTATGAAAGAAATACATAGGCATGTCATTTATTTTTTAACTTTATGGCAGAAGATTATTGATTTCTGATTTCTACCTCTTTCTGAGCTTTTCATTTTCCTCTAAAGCATAGTTAACTTGGCTCTATGAGACACGACGTTTAACTTTCTTTCCTATAAGATCTATGTAATAGTACCAATTGATATTCAACCACTAAGTTTTGTTTGTTTGTTTTTTTGAGAGGGAGTCTTGCTCTGTCACCCAGGCTAAAGTGCAGTGGCATGATCTTGGCTCACTGCAAATTCCACCTCCCTGGTTCAAGCAATTCGCCTGCCTCAGCCCCTCTCCAGAGTAGCTGGGACCGCAGCCCTGTGACACCACGCCATGCTCATTGTTGTATTGTTTTTTTTCTATTTTTTTTTTTTTTTTTTTTTTTAGTGGAGACAGGGTTTCATCATGATGGCCAGGCTGATCTCAAACTCCTGACTTTGTGATCTGCCTGCCTCTGCCTCCCAAAATATAGGGAATAACAGGTATGAGCCACCATGCCCAGCCAACCACTGATATTTTTAATGCAGAAATAGCCTGAATTTTAAAAATGTTCTTGAAATGAATAAAAGTATTGTAATTTGACTTTATGACTTATTTTGTCTGCAGAAGTAAAAGTGAGAGATAATAAATTTCCAAATCATAATAAAAAACAGACCTAAGGTGAAACAACAGAAACTTGAGTTTAGTATATTATTTCTGCTGCCTCCATTTGTAAAGATATATGAATGATCTTATAGAGTCAAAATTAAAAAGACTGATTATATTGTGTTAAGATACTCAATATTAAACACTTATTTAAAAAGGAAAATTATGCTATTGCTTAAGTTAATACTGACATTGTCAGAAATACTAAAAATCAATAAACAAATTAATTGTGCCATTAAATAAATTAAATTATAGCTTCTATATTTCAATCATTTATCTAAATCTGTCAATCAGTGCTGAATCTTTTTGAAATTTATATTTATTATAGCATTTTAGAATAAGTAGGACAGACCACATACACACATATAAATATAAATCAATCATATGACAACCATGTTGATACAGCAATTGTTTGCCTTTTCATTTATTTCCTTCCATGAATATATTTTAAGCTAATTTTCACATTCATATATGCATAAAAATATCAGAAATCTGAAAATACATCTCCTTCCAAAGTAAGATATCCTCCTAGGAGAAAACCAATTTTACATTATAGAACATTCTTTCAGAAATTATGTGTGTGTGTGTGTGTGTGTGTACGTGCGCACATGTGTAAATTTTTGTACATATATCAGAATCATTTGCTCTGTTGTGCCCTGTTTCTTTAACATTTTTAAGATCATTCATTCAATTTCTGTCTTTTAGCAAGAATCCATCCATTCCATCAGCACATATCTACCATATGCATAATCTGCTTGTAAACTATCCCAATTGAAAAAGTGCAAGTGTCTGGGATTTTGTTGTTATGAAAATAATATAATAAATGTTCATCTATACATACTTATTTGAATATATACATATTCTGCATATATATATTCATATATATGTCTTTTGCACACATATCAGTAAATACAGGCACAATATACTGCTAAGTAAACTGTGTAGGCTAAAACACTTCATTGTTCCTGCAGCTCTGATCATGTTTCCTTCTTTGTAGTAAAGATGCATTACGAAAAATGAATCTGAATTCTGTAATTACATTTTATATTATTTCATTATGGTAGCAAAATAGAAATGCCTCAAAGTATCACCATAACTCCCCCTAAAAATATACTGTTGACCAAAATAGTACTTCGATGTCTTTATTTTAGCATAAAAAGCATAGTAACAGCTAAAATTCCAACCTAAATTATCATTCCCCAGAGAAAATTTATTGCCTGTATAGTCATATTACTAATGAGAACAGCATTTCCTTTTGTGTAATAATAACTTTTATTAGGCACTTACTGTGTGCCTGCTACCATAAAATATGTGCTAACTTAATCAATTCTCTTAAGAATCAAACAAAATAAATACATGTTTCTATTTCAGTTCTACAAAAATGCAAGTACAAAGAAAGATCTACTAACCTTGGGCAAGGTCATATAGCTAAATACCAAAGTGAGGACTCTCACCTAGGGCTATCTCAGTCTATGAAATGTCTCATTTCTCATAGTGTAAATGAAATTTTCAGAAAAATCACTAAGTATTCTATAATAAAGACATTTTTTATTCCATATATTTTGGTCAATGCAATGATCAAAGTGAGAAAGTTCAGATTGAGATTCTAATGCTACATTTTTCTAGTGTTATCATACAAGGATTTTCATTTTTTCTTGATAGTATGTTGAAATGGAACATCCTATAAATTAGTATGGTCAATTTCTTAGTTACAGGTTGTTACCATCTTAGTATAGTCTAGAAAATTCAGCATCTGTTATTATTTATGTACATGTATTTCCAAGAAATACAGTCCTCCCTAGTATTCCATGGTATACATGTGCCAGACTTTCTTTATCCAGTATCATTGATGGGCATTTGGGTTGGTTCCAAGACTTTGCTATTGTGAACACTGCCACAATAAACATACTTATGCATGTGTCTTTATAATAGAATGATTTATAATCTTTTGGGCATATATCCAGTAATGGCATCACCATACAGCCATAAAAAAGGATGAGTGCATGTCTTTTGCAGGGACATGGATGAAGCTGGAAACCATCATTCTCAGTAAACTGACACAAGAACAGAAAACCATATACCATGTGTTCTCACTCATGAGTGTTGAACAATGAGAACACATGGACACAGGGATGGGAACATCACACACTGGGGTCTGTTGGGGGATGGGGTTAGGGGAGGGATAGCAGGGGATGGGGGGATTGGGGAGGGATAGTATTAGGGAAAATATCTAATGTAGATGATGGGGGGATGGATGCAACAAACTCCCATAGCACATGTTTACCTATGTACCAAAACTGCATGGTCTACACATGTACTCCAGAACTTAAATTATAATAAATAAATAAATATAGTTCTACCTCCAACAATTATCATGGATGCTGTATTAGTCTGTTTTCATGCTGCTAATAAAGACATACCTGAGACTAGGTAATTGATAAAGGAAAGCATTTAATGGACTCACAGTTCCATATGGCTGAGAGGACTCACAATCATATCAGAGGATGAAGGAAGAGCAAAGGGACATCTTACATAGTGGCAGGCAGGGGAACTCCCCTTTATAAAACCATTAGATCTCATATGACTTATTCAGTATCACCAGAACAGCATGGGAAAGACCTGTTCCCATGATTCAATTACCTCTCACTGTTTCCCTCCCACTACACAACATGTGGGTATTATGGGAGCTACAATTGAAGATGAGATTTGGGTGAGGACACAGCCAAGCCACATAAGGCGCCAATACTAAACTCCGAAAGAACGTAGAAAAAATGGGCAACATTCTAAAATTTCCTAGAAAATATGTATTCAAAAGTGAGAATCATCACCTCCCCTAGCACCCAATGACACGTTTTTATCCTCTAGGATATCTTTACTAAGTATTCATGAATTGCCTTAACATATAGATTGATAAGAGCCTTACAATCAACAAAGGTAGTACTTTAAAGTCTTCCAGACAAAGACTAAAATCACAACTATGAACATATTACCCACTTTTCTCTTTCAAAATGAAAACAGTTACAAAAAGCTGTAATTATTTCAGGATACAATGTATGTGAAAGTACTAATCATGATACCTTATACATTGTAGGCATTGTTTCTCTTACAAAATTCTTCCTAAGGCTGCCCTAAGTGTTGACCTGTTGAAAACCCATGAAATATTTGAAGACACCAAATATCATCTCACATATTCCCTTCACTTTAAATATTCATAACATTTGAACAATTATGAATCCATCAAATCATATCATTACCAATCATTTCTCCCTCTAGAATTCCTAATAGTACAAAATAAACAAGGAGTGAGATGTTCTACATTTGACTTTAGTTATATTTACCTTGTGTTAAAAATGATTAAAAACTAAACAGTTATCCAAATATTTTGGCCTATATGATGCAAAAATCCAGCTGTTGTAAAATATACAAACAATTGAATAATATATTTCACTGAAGTTCATTCAATAACTTATTTAATAATTATGTAATCATACATTCATTGACATAATACAGCCATTACCTTTAGTGGACTACTCCAAAACCGAGGTTATAAGATAGGAAATGCTATTTTATTAAGACAAATGAGTTGAAAACTAATTTGGAACACAAACAAAAAAATGGAAAATTACACCATAAGTTTTTTTAAAGTATAATTATTCAGAAATTCCTATAAACACTATTATTAAAACATGCTTGCCTCACTATTAATATTGCTAAACCTACTTTAAAAATTAAATTAGAGGCAATGATTGAATATGAAAATGCATTTGTAATCGGAAAAAATGTAGCACCATATCATTTGGTAC